ATGTCACCCAACATTCTAGTTTTTAGGGGATAGCTGCCTGAGGGAATGATTTATGTCACCTGAATTGGAGCACTGGTGGGAACTGACATAGTTTGGATGCCTGCAGTCAAAAAGAACAAAAAGTTCAGCAACTTCATGCAGAACCAGAGAACTAAAGTACCACAGACAGACACCAGAGGGAGCCCCAATATTTAGAGATTTCAGTCTTCTGAAAAAGAAAGATGCAAACCTCTCTAGTTGGGAAATTACACAAGATCAAAGAAGATATATCTCCAGGAAAGGACTGAGGACTCCCCGCCCCACAATCTTTACTCAGGCTGACTGGTGAAGGTCTTCCCCTGGATAAAGCTAGTCTATAAAAACTGAGAAATGGCTACTTTTTTAAATGCACAAAACACAGCAAAGAAATAAGGCACAGGAAGAAAGAAATCTGTAGACACACCCTAAAGAAAGTGAGACCTATGAATTACCTGACAAAGAATGAAAAAACAATTATCTTTAAAAAGCTCAATGAGCTACAAGAAAACACAGATAAACAATCTAAATCAGGAAAACAATGCATGAACAAAATGAGAATCTCAACAAACTATAAAAAAAAAGGGAGAACCAAATTCTGGAGATGAATAATACAATGAATTGAAAAATCCATTAGAGGGGTTCGCAGAAGATTTGCTTAAGCAGAAGAAAGAAACAGCAAATGTGATGATGAGTTATTTGAAGTTATCAAATCAGAGGAACAAAAAGAAAAAAATGAAATAAAAAAGTAGACCAATATACACATTTTAGGAGCCCCAGAAGAAGAAAGCGGCAGAGGGCTTATCTGCAGAAATAATGGCCTTAAACTTCCCATATCTGAGGAAGGAAATGGATACTCAAATTCAGAAAGCTCAAAGGACCCCAACTAAGATGCATTATATTCAAACTGTTAAAATTCAAAAACGAAGGGAGACTCTTGAAAGTGGAACAAGAAAAGCAACTTGTGTACAAGGGAGCGCCAATAACATTGTCAGATTTCTAAGCAGTTATGTTACAGGATAGAATGGTGTGGGATGACATACAGTGCTGCAGGAAAAAAAAATGCCATTCAGGAATACTACACCTAGTAAAACTATCCTTCAAAATGAAAGAGAAATACTTTCCCAAATAAACAAAAGCTGAGGTGGTTTATCATCACTAGACCTGCCTTATAAGAATTATTAAAGGGAGTCCCTCGAGTTGAAACAAAAGGATACTATACAGCAGCACAAAAGCACAAGAAAATATATAAAAGTTTTCGGTAAAGTAAATGTATGAATAAATACTGAATCTTGTAGTGCTGGTGCATAAAACAATTTTAGTATATAATTTAAAAAGTAATAAAAATACCTATGTTAATGGTTAAAAATATGAAAGGTATAATCTGTGACATCGTAAGATAAAGTATTATTATCCCATAAAGTGGGGGAGGGAGACGTAAAGGAGCAGTTTTTGTATGTTATCAGTTTAACCAGTGTAGCTCACTGCCAGTGTTAACATGCACAGGAATGCTGCCTTTTCTAGGATATGATGCTTTCAGTGATTGAGAATTACTATATTTCGTAAATGGAAATACCACTACTAAAAACAGAATACTATAAATAGAATGATGTAATTTGTTTCCAAAGACTATCGACATACTAGACTGATGAGAAAATAATAATAAAAGTGAGATACTTCATAGCAAACTCTGAGGGTAAGATTAAGACTATAATCCGCGAGTTATCGCAGGGTAAATGCTGCAGCTGCAAGCACTGCCGGCTAGGGGAAATGGGTTAAAGAAGATTGCTATAAGATGATTTATGTCATCCTCATTGTAACCACACACACACACACAAAATCTATAGAAGATGAATAAAATAAAAGAGAAGGAAATCAAGGCATGTCGCTACACAAAATCAACGAAACACAAAGGCAGCAAGAAAAGAAGAAAAGGACAAAATAACTACAAGACTTACAGAAAAACAATTAACAAAATATTATCAGTCATTATCAGTAATTCCATTAAATGTAAATGGGTGAAACTCCCCAATCAAAAGAAATAGAGTGGCTGACTGAATAAAAAAACAAAGCCAACTATATGCTGTCTACAAGAGACTCATTTTAGTTAAGTATAAGGAAATACATGGATTGAATGCAAAAGGATGGAAAAAGATAGTCCATCAAATGAACCAAGAGAGCAGATGTGCCCATACTTAGAGAAAATAAACTTTAAGTCAAAAATTGTCACAAAATACAAAGGATATTATATAATGAAAAAAGGGTCAATTCGCCAGGAAGATAAGTCATATACATGCACCCAACACCGGAGACCCAAATACATGAACTGACAGAATTAAAGGGAGATACAGACTATAACAGTAACAGTACAAGCTTTTAATACCTCACTTTCAGTAATGGACAGATGAACCATAAAGAAACTCAATAAGGAGATAACTTGAACACTATAAACCACCTGGACCTAATAAACCCATACAAAATATTCCACCCAATAATAGCAGAATACATTCTTTTGCAGTACACACAGACCATTATCCCTGATATAGCACATTAGGTGACAAAATAAGTCTTAACCAATTTAATAAAACTGAAACCATACCAAGTATCTTTTCAGACCACAATGGAAAAAAAACTAGAAATTAGCAAAAAGAAAACTGGAAAATTCACAAGTATGTGGAAATTAACACATTTGAACAAACAATAGGTCAAAGAAGAAATATCAAGGGAAATTAGAAAATATCTTGAGATAAATGAAAACAAAACAATGTACCAACACTTTATGGGTTGCGGCAAAAGCAGTACTAAGAGGGAAGTTTATAGCAGTATATACCTACATTAAAAAAGAAGAAAGCTCTTAAATCGACAACCTAATTTTATACCCCAAGGAACTAGAAAAAGAAAAGCAAATTAAATTGAAAGCAGAAGGAAGGAACAACAAATATCAGAGCAGAAACAAAACAGAGAATAGCAAAATAGGAAAGAGTTGGTTTTTTTTTTTTTTAAAAGATCACCAAATCGACAAATCCTTAGACTAAGAAAAAAAGACTCAATCAGAAATGAAAAAGACACTGTAACTGATGCCACAGAAATAAAAAGGATCAGAACATACTAGAATGAACAACTATATGCCAACCAATTGGATAACCTAAAAGAAATGCATACATTTCTAGAAAAGTAGAACTTACCAAGAATGACTCATGAAGAAATAAAAAAAAATCTGAACAAACCTATAGCTAATAAGGAGATTGAAACGGTAATTGAAAATCTCCCATCACAGATCCCAAGGCCAGATGGCTTCAATGGAGAATTCTACCAAACAAGTAATACCAGTTCTTCTCAAACTCTTCCAAAAAAACTGAAGAAGGGGAATACTTCCAAACTCATTTTATGAGGCCAGCATTACCCTGATACCAAAATCTGACAAAGATACTACAAGAAAACTGAAGACCAATATCCTTAATTATTGGTACAAAACTCCTCAGCAAAATACTAGTAAGCAGAATTTAACACCGTAAAAGGATTATATACATCATGACAAAGTAGGATTTATTTCTGGAATGCACGGATAGTTCAATATACAAAATAAGATCAATGTAATACACCACAATAACAGAATGAAGGACAACAGCCACATGGTTATCTCAATTAATGCAGAAAAAGCATTTGACAAAATTCAACACCTATTCATGATAAAAACTCTCAACAAACTAGAAAGAAATTAAATCAACATAACAAAAAGCCATATATGAAAAGCCCACAGCTAATATCATATTCAATGGTGAAAATATGGAAAGCTTTTGTTGTTCTCAGATCAGGAACAAGGCAGGGATGCCTTCTCTTGCTATTTCTTTTCAACACAGTACTGGAAATCCTAGCTAGAGCAATAAAGAAAATAAAAAAGGCCTTCAAATCAGAAAGGAAGAAGCAGAATCTGTTCACAGATGACATGATCTTATGTAGAAAGCCCTAAAGAATCCACCAAAAAAAATAAAAAACAAAAAACTGTTAGAATCCATAAACAAATTCAGCAAAGTTGAAAGATATAAAATCAAAACAGAATCAGTTGCATTTCTATATGCTAACAATGCACAGTCCAAAAAGGAAATGAAGAAAACAATCCCATTTAAAATAGCATCAAAAAGATAAAACATTCAGGAATAAACTTAACCAAGGTGAGATATCTGTACACTAAAAACTATAAAACATTGTTGAAAGAAATTAAGATATAAATGGAAAAACACCCCTTGCTCATTGACTGGAAGAGTTAATACTATTAAAATGTCCTTACTACCCAAAGTGATCTACAGATTCAATACAATTCCTACCAAATTCCCAGTGGCATTCTTCACAAAAATAGAAAATCATACTAAACTTCATATGGAATATTACAGGACCCCAAATAGCCAAAACAATCTTGAGAAAGCAAACCAAAGCTGAGGCCTCACATTTCTTGATAACATCACTAAACTACAGTAATCAAAATAGTATAGTACTGACATAAAGACAGACATCTACCCACTGGAACAGAATAGAGAACCTAGAAATAAACTCTCAAATATATGATCAAATTATCTTCAAGAAGAGTGCCAAGGCTACACAATGGGGAGAGGGATATTTGCTGCATGGCACTGTAGAATATACTTAACATTACTGAATTTATATGCAAAGATGATTAATATGGTAAATTATGATATATATATTTTTTCACTTTAAAAAAATACATTGGCCCTCTTTAAAAAAAATTTCTAATATAAATATGAAATAGTGATTTTAAGATGTTAAAAAGTAAAAATTAAAAAACTAGTCGGGCCTTTCTACATGGCTTACATGGTGGTGGTATACCTATTATATCTAGACACAGATATCATATTTCAAATTCTAGTACCTTAAAAATCTGGTCACGTCCCTATAGATAACTGAATCAGTTTTAGAATATTCTAAGTTTGTAATGTTTGCATTTCATGGCATACTTCCCTACTTTTATCAATGAACTGCTTACAATCAGTAAGTCTGTTAAATTATTCAGGTGTCAGTGCCAGGTACAGGATATTAAAAATAGCAGACCCTCAAATAGCTAACTTGATTTTGAAAGACTGAAGCTTTCCATGTGGCTGAGAACACTTTGTCAAGAAAATAAAACAAGGTTAGTGATTCTACCAGAATTATTTGGTATGACAGAAACACAAGGGTATTTTATAATTTTAAAAGTAATGAAAATACTATACCTCTAAATCATTTCTTATATCAAGAATTCATTAAGCTAAAAGGCAAGATAATGAATGCCATTTTCACTAAAACATTGGAAGTCTATAATAAGTCTTCATTTAAAGAGATTTATGACTAGGAAAAACGATAACACAGTCAAGATAGTCTTGAATATATTAAGAGAACTTCTGTACCAGTTTTAATGGCAAACTGGCTCTGGAACATACCATAAAGAATAAAAAAACAGACAGTTCCTACCATGATAAAGATGAGTTAGCATGACAGGGTGCTCCTTTCCCCAAGAACCTCCCCAAAAGGACTACAGAAGGGAAAAACCTGCACCCCCACCTGAAGAAAGCTCAAAAAGCCATCGGGTGAGAGAAACAAAGGTTTAGATTGAGTGAACTGGTGTGAGGAGTGGCGGCTGTGGTCCAGGGTAGGAAAAGAACTGTTAAGGTTGGCTTCTGCTTCTCCCCCAGCACTGGTTCTCACAAACTGTACCTCCCCAACAGCTGCCAGCAACTCAGACCTCTCCCTGTGCAAACAAGAGTAAGACCTGGGCTATGTTTGTGAGGCTTGAAGAAAAACAGGTAGAGATTGACTAACTTTGGGAAGTTGTCTCCTCTTCCTTCCCCTGATAATCTAAGGAGTATATCTACTCTTAATGCTACTAATCTCTAGAAGACACAGGGTGAAATCCTGATCTGACAGGTTACTTTGTGGGATGACTGACTGAGGCTTCCACTCTAGGACTCACCTGCTGCTATCCTTTGCATTCATGGGAACTAACAAGGATTAAAGTTTGGTCTTCCGTTATACACAATGTCTGACAAAGAAGCTGACAGTCCCTGGGGGAAAATAAGCTCATAGGCTGGAGCAATAAGACACTGGAGAAATACAACTATTTCAAAGGGAAAACAATATATTAGACCAGAAAGTCTATCAGAAGCAGGTATTTCACAACAGATAATCAATTTTAAATTAGCCTAATAGTCTAAAGAAGATATAAGCAACATAATAAAACCCGAATATAAAACAAAAAAGAACTAAACAGAAATATTACATATAAAACCTGAAATAGCTAAATAAAGAACTCAATAGATGGGGTAAAATGGAAGAATGGAATATCTGAGAAATAAATTAGCAAATTTCTAGATTGAAGAAATCTAGAAGAATGAAGCAAAGGACAATGATACAGGAAATAGGACAAAAATCTTTTTAATTTTTGGAATTAAAGAAGAATCTTAGATTGAAAAGGTCAGACCTAAAATTGTGAAGTTTAATATCAAAGATAAAGCACTGTAAAAGCTTAGAGAAAGAGCAGACCACATGTAAAGAAACAAGACTTAGACATCATATTTTCCAAATCAAGATTAATGCAAAAGAAAAAGGAATAGTGATTACAAAGTATTTAAGGAAATGATTTAGAACCTAGAATATTATATCCAGCTAAACAGTTATTCACATTCAAAGTCATGATCAAAATAATCAGGATTTATAAATTTTACAACATAAACAGCCATACTGAAAAGTGTTATATGAAGCATTTAAATAAGAAGAGACATATCCAGAGGAAGTTACAAGAAATATCTGAAGTTAAGGTGATGATTAAATACATACCTTAATAAAGACTGTTGCTGTTTTAGAGAAGATAATAAAATTTGTCTATCTTAATCCAGAATTAAAAGTCTCTATTATAAACATGATGGGGTTTGGGGTGGAGGAAAGGGAGAGAAGACCAAAAGATAAGAGACCTTGCCAAAGTTCTAACCTTATTAGTGGAGAATTACAAATTCTGTTTTTTTAAAAAAAGCAAGAATGGATTAAAAACAACAAAAGCTAGAACAACAAAAAAAAGAAAAACACTATCCTTCCAAATATATTGGTAGTTACAATAAATGTAAATGGACTACAGTCAATAGTTAAAAGGTGCGGACACATTGGATTTTTAAAAGATTTTATAAGAAATAAAGTTTAAGATCAAACAAAAGTTGGAAGTACGAGAAAGTAAAAAAGTGTAAAATCTGGCAAATGCTAGCAAAAGAAATCTAGTGACACTATATTAGTATCAAATAAAGTAGATTTCAAGACAAAACATTTTTAGGAATAAAAAAGGTCGTAAGATAAAATGTTCAATCAAGACAGCAATTTTAAACATGATGTTTTAATAGTCTCTAAATATATATGCATAAATTGATGAAAGTATTAGGAAAAAATCTATAAATAATACTGATTCTACATAGATCCAATAATTAGAGAATCTACATAGACTAATTAGAGATTCCCATAATGTGCTACGTCAGAGCCTCAAAATTTCAAAAAACAGGTTATCACCAGTCCATGAAATTTGACAACATATTTAAAATAGAAGGTTAATACAAAAATATAAATTAAAAAGTCACATGTTTGGACATTCAAAAACATACTACCAAATAATTCACAGATTAAAGAAAAAATTAGAAGTGTAAAAACGGGTAAAACCAAATAATAATGAAAACATTATATATCAAAAGCTGTGGGATAAGCAAAAGTGCTTCAAGGAAAAATTTATTAGTTACATATGTCACGTCAAAAGACTTACTTATATTCTGGGAGAGTTTTCTCAAATGCAGACAAAACAACATCTAACTCCATGATGTCGCTGCTTTTCTTTCCTTTTAGACACCAAATACGTACACAGTCGGAAATACCTAGAACATTAAGGTAAGCCAATTTAATATACTGATTTCAATAATTTGGCTGTAGGTCCAGGGTTCTGAAAGCCTTCAACAAAACTCATCCCATCAAATTGGTAAAAACAGCTCCAGTTGAAGAAACGTGGAAGGAGACATACTCCTCAATCCCAGCAGTCTCTCACAAACCCAACTATACTGTAATTCTGTAACTGCTGTCTCCTTGGTTCTCCCATTTCTGTTAAAGCAGCCTGAAGCACTGCTGCCTTTTAATTACTTTGCTGTGCTCTTATTTAATAGTCTGCCATTATCCAGCGCTACTGGTGATAGAGTTCTTCTTTGTTAACTATATTTTAATTTTAGTCTACCTAATAGGCTAGTTCTAGAACACAGAAAGATTACTCAGTGTATTGATTTAGATAGTAGTAATATATAGTAAGAGATTAAAACTATGGCGCATTCATGAATGAAATATTCATTCATTAAAATGGTACTGTAGAATACTTAGGATATGGTAAAATATGATAAGACAAGGATATGATCCCATTTAGGGTGAGAAAACCTCAGTGAAAAGATTAAAGAGTACAGACAAAAAACATGGTAGTTATTTTGGTGTGATGAATTATAAGTGACTTTATCTTCTTTTCCATAATTTATAAATTTTCTAGAATATTTTTGTAACAAGAAAAATATATAACTTCTCTTTTAAAAAAACTGAAAGAAAGAGATGCTTTATTTTCCTCTGAAACTTTTTCAGTAAACTTTCTGTATCATAAAAATGATGCAAAATAACATGGATGAATCTGAAAGTCAGATTAAGTGAAATAAGCCTTATAACGAGAGAACAATCTATATGATGTATGAAAAGAACATATTCTATGTGAAAAATTAAAATGATTTAATGGATAGGTGATAAAGCCAATATAATCAATTTCAATAGTAAAATCTAGGTGGTGGGTACATAAATATATATTGTAAAATTTTTTCACCTTTGTTGTGTGTTGAAATTTTCATGATAGATGAAAAAATCTATCCAAAAATCTATCCAAAAAAATCTATTACTCCAAAGTCCCATATTATTTTTAACTTTAAGTGGCAGTTTTATATACTTAAAATTTACTACTTGTTAGTTAAGTATTTTTAAATGAAATTCTTGAATGACTGCCAAAGCATAAAATGCTATTCTGTACCTGAGTCTATAGCTTCACTTTTTGATTTCTTCCTTTTTCCACGAAACATCTTCTTTTTCTGAGTGTTCTACAAAAAAATACAGGAAAGGATTTTACTTTTTTTTTCTTTTAAAAGGATTAAGACAGTAATATCAAATAATTCTTATTTACTTCTAAGCTAACACATCAATTATATATTTTATCTAAATTAATAGAAGGAAACATTGAAAAAAATTAAACTGTCTCAAAATAAAATGTAAATAAAATTTTCAGTTGGCTTTTAACAATGGTTGCCTTGCAAGAAGTTGAACTTTTATTATTTAAAATAACATTGTCTGGAATCAGCTCAATTTTCAAGCTATGACGGAATAGCAGCTTCTGAACTAGCTCCATTGCCATAAACAACCATAAAATGGGGGTGGCGGTTGGCGATTTTATTTAGGTATTGGACAAGAGGCAAACAAGACTAGGAAACTCAGAAAGTGAACTCTGTGAATGCCCCCCACTCCCACCCCCACTCCATGCCGGGGGACAACTTCCACACAACAGCACAACAAGCTAAATCCAAGGAGAACATGATAATCCTACTCTGCTGAGGAGGCAGAAATCAGAGTACAGCAGCTGAAGCACTCGGAATAAGCTGCTCAGAGAAGAGCAACAGAAGTCCAGGTGAGGGTTCTCCAAAAGTCCGTATGTGTAGGGTGAGACCACATAAAGTTTACCAGAAAGTGGCTATCATGGGATTAAGAACATCACAGGTAATAGAGAACAAGCAATGCTGGGGGAAATTAGATGTAGAAAATGCAGAGACCTCATTAAAACTAGTTAACACCTGTCTATCCAGCTGAGCTTGCAGCAGAAAGACTCTGACTTAGAGCTAAGAACCATGATCTAGAGCAGTGGTCCCCAACCTTTTTGGTACCAAGGACTGGTGCTCCTATGAGAATCTAATGCCTGATGATCTGAGATGGAGCTGAAGCGGTGATGCTAAAAATGGGGAGCAAATACAGATGAAGAAGCTTGCCTGCCGCTCACTTCCTGAAGCCTGGTTTCTAACAGGCCACGGACAGGTCCCGATCTGTGGCCCGGGGGTTTGGGGACCCCTGCTCTAGAGCATGCAGTCTCATACAGGATGATACTGTTCCCAAGGGGGCAAAAACTGATTCTTAGGGGGGGATGCAAAAAAAAAAAAAAAAAAAAGATATTACAATGGTTGTAAACCCTTGGAAGGACCCAAGTACCTAAACATAAACAGATATGCAGTATACTTGTGGTATTAAAATTTAATTGGAGGGATAATTAGAAGTAAAAAAATGTCTTAAAAGGCTTCATAAGGAGGACAATAATGAAAAAGGATTGAAAAACAGTGCCTTGGAGTAAAGACTACTCTAGACCCATCCTTCTGAAATCAATATTTGACCAAATTCACAAGGGAGACAGAGACTGGAGGCTGAAGTAAGCAGAATTCTAAGATGATCCCTAATGACTTCTATGACTTCCTCCACTTGAGGAAGGATGGCACCTGTGAATATGATGGGATAGCTGCTTCCTTTATTAGGTACATTATATAAGACTCCATTGTAGCCGAATAAAGAGAGATTGATTCTCTGGCTCCTTCTGAAGATACAAGTGCCATATGACTAGGACCTGTGGATAGCCTCTAGACGCTAAGATTGCCCCCCAGCTTCAACCAGAGGAAAAACAAGAACCTCAGGCCTACAATGGCAAGCAATTGAATTCTAACAACCTGAATAATTTTAGATTAGACCTTGAGTCTCAGATGAGATTTCAGTCCTGGCTAGCACCTTGATTTCAGCCTTGTGAGATCCTGAGTAGAAAATGCATCTGAGGTAATCCAGGTTGGACTTCTGACCTAGAGAAACTATGAGATATAAATGTATATTGTTTTAAATCACACAGTTTGTGGTAATTTGTTATGCAACAATTGAAAACTAATAGAGAGGTTGAGTCCCACTGAGTTAGAGAGGCTTAGAAAACACCTTAGACTTTTCACAAATCAATCCTAACAAAGGATAAAACCAAACCTACAGGAGTTCAAGATGACCAGAGAAAAATCAAGCTATCTATTAGAATAAAAGTCAACATTATTCAGAAGTTAATAGAATTCAGAATCTCAACAACTTATTAACAATAATGTCCAATACACAAATAGAAAGTACTACATTTAAAATGTTACACACAGAAAATGTGATCCATAGTCAAGACATAAAAAGTACTCAAACAAAACTGACCCTGATGACAGCCCAGATATCTGATTTAAGAAAGACTTTAAAGCTGCTATCATAAATACGTTCGAAAAAGTAAATAACTGTCTTAATGATTAAATAGACAGAGAATCTTAGCAGAAAGTATACTAAAAAAAATTTTTTTAGAAATTCTATAACCAAAATGCACATAATGAAAAATAAAAAGTCATTAGGTGGTATTTTAGTTTCTTTGGCTGCTGTAATAATTACAACTTGGTGGCTTAAAACAACAGAATGTATCTCCAACAGTTCTGTAGGCCAGAAGTCCGAAATCGGTTTCAGTGGGCCAAAACAAAGTGCTGGGACAAAACATATTAAGAGCTTGCCCAAAAGATATTATATGTCAGGAATCTTAGAACACGATTATGACCCAGAAATCTTATTTTAACAATTTTTTCTAATGATCAAGGGTGCGCACAAAGATTTAGCTAGAAATTCATCAAAGCACTTAAAATTGTTTAAATTGCAACTGTTCATTAGAGATGAAATAAACTATGACACTTTCATGAATGAAATGTCAGACATTCATTAAAATATTGTAAAATACTAAATGATAAGAACATGGTGCCACTTAGGATGAGAAAAACTCAGTAAAAGGACTGAAGAGTATAAACCAAAAAACATGGTTATTTTTGGGTGATGGAATTATAGGTGATCTTCTTTCCATACCTTCTAAATATTCTAAAACATTTTTATAAGATATAAAACATCTTTTTTAAATACTGAAGGAAAGAAAAAATGCTTTATTTTCCTCCTAAATATTTTTCAGTCTTTTTTTCCCTCTCCAAGGGGCTGGCAGACACACTTACCAGCTGACTTTCTGTTGCCAGTGTCTCTTTTTCAACAGATAACTTGGCACTAAGAGGTCCCATCTTTTTAGGAGTGCTCAATTCAGCTGATGTCTCTGAACGTTCTGAAGATGCTGTAGCTGGAACAGCTTCATGTTGTTGTCTACTTATTTTCTCTGCTGGCTTACCTTTTATTATTATATTACTTTCTTTAGTGCTGTCAGAGTCATCACTAATGGGCTTGAGTTTTCTTCTTACCTGTCAAGAAAACAGCATTACTGATTTAGGAAATACAAATGCTTATCATTCTTATTGTAATAGTAGATAACCATAAAGCCCAAATTCCTCATTTCTAAATTTCAAGATTGAATATACAGAGAGATGACAATGTGATTAGTGGATAGGATGGGGAACCTACATTAAAGAAAGCTCCAAATACACTCCCAACAAATTACTGATTTTGTAAATCACAATCTAAACATATAACATGAATGCTAAAATTGACAAGGTACAGAGATATATCTCTGTAATGAAGAACACTTCAGATATAAAAATATTTCACCTTTTGTTTAAAATGTACCTTCTAAAACAATACTTTATGAAAAATATTGCTACAGAACATTTTTCCTATTTGCATCCAATCTAAACAGGATATGAAATATCTTACAAATTAAGGAGAGAACACTTCTACATACCTTTTTTGCACTAATTTTTACAGACTCGTTTTCACTTTCTTCAATTTCAGAAGTGTTCGAACTGTACCAAAGAACAAGCTGTCAATATCTTGCATACATTTCATTTTTATTCATATATGTCTTCTATAAGTTGCTTGTCCAACAGGAAAACAAGCCCAATTTAATGAGATTTCCTACTTGTCCTGGGCAGGCTGTCGCCTTCCCAGATTTACTGGTCATCTCCCACATCTTCCCATTCCCAGGCCACATCAATTTATTCTTGGCAGTACTGTCAAGTGTCCCATTAGTGCAGCACCTTCCTCAAAGTAACCGCTTCCAGGTTTATAGGCTATCATTTGGACTAAAAGCTAATCCGCAGACACTAGGCCCATCATTAGGTGATAAGAGAATATTTCTTTTGTCTTCTGAAATGGAAAAAAGTAATCCTAAACTTCTGATGAGATGAGATCTTTCATTATTTTCATTCAATACAACAAATATTTAACATCAGCCTCAAAATGCAAAGTACAGTGAATAAAATTATTTTTTTAAAAGGAAGAGCCTTCTTTTAATGGGTTCACTGTCTAGTAGGAAGACCAAAGATAATGCAGAGTGATGACTTGGCAAGCAATGGACACAGAAGATGTGGATACATGGCTGAAGTAATAGGAAAGACATTATGGCTATGACACGAGTTGACTTTTGAAAACACTTTTCCAGTCCAGGAGAAGAAATAAAGGGAAGGGCATTTTAGAAGGAAAAGTAAAAGATAAAAGAACTCACATATTCAAGGAACTTGACAAAGAATAGACAGTATTTGCTGTTAAAGGGAAGGTAATGCTAGGGAAGAGATCAACAGATATGTCCAGGGAGACGGTGAGGCAGCCGCAGAAGTGTGCTGCTCATGGCTCCCTACAGTTGGCCCACAGCCTGCAATGCCATGAGGATCCCCCGCAGCATCTTTGTGGGGAGTCTCCAGCCGATACCTAAGCATTGAGAGTACTAGGACCTGGTCATTTCTGATGAATACAGGACTCTTCAACAGGTCATCTTTTCGCTAGAGCTCCCCAGGGGGCTGGTCAGAACTGTGAGAGTTTACACAGCACGGTCTGAGGCCATCTCTGCCCAATCATGACTCTTCTAAGTTTCAAAGGTATTACTAATAAACCACCGTTTCTTAGTCAGCCTCTGTATCTACTTACCCAAGATCCAAACTGGCACAGAGGCTGCCTATGCCATGCATACAGGCAGTGAGGAGCCCTTAAAAGGTGTTATCTCACTCTCACGAGATGAGACTTGCATTTTAGAAAGATCACACTGGAAGCTGTGTGGATGGGTGGATGGGAGAACAGAGGAGAGAGTACAATTTCAGAGATAAGGAGACCAGGCAGGAAACTACTGCAGGGATGCTGGGGAGAGTAGCTGGTGCATAAACTATGGCAGCTGCAAGGAAGTAGCAGGGGTATGAAGAGGAAAAAAGTGGATTCTCAAGGTAGTCACAGGCCAGAATAGGATTGGTCAGAGAATAGAAGATACCAAGAATGATTCCCAGATTGCTTTTTTGGGTGACAGTGGGACCTGTCAACCTGGAGAATACCAAAGAAGCTTGTGGACACTGGATGGAGAAAAGAACTAAACTTGGTTTTGCCTTTGTCAAGTCTTTGGGCACCTAGGGAAATGACCAATAGGCAAGACATCTCAGGCCTCAGGAGAAAGGCTGGGTAAGAAACAGACTTGGGGACAGTGGCATATGGATAGTTAAAACCATGAGAGCAGTACTGGGAATGGGTGGAGAGGAAAGGGCTAAAAGCAGAATCACCTACACATAAATAGGAGAGGGCGGGAAAAGATCAAGGAATGAAGAAATGAACATCCCTGGTGAGGATTTGGGACCTGGGTGCTGATGCTTCCATGAGTCCTGGGAAATGCTGCTGACCTCTCTCTGCACTGCATCCCTTCTGCCCTGACTTCCTTTTGTATCCATACACAAACCCTGTTTAACATAAGGAAATAATGCCCTTTGTCTGGACTTATCACACCACCAAAAGCAAGATTATGGAGAATGTCCCTACTATTAAATGCAATGCGCAGGTTCAGTCCTTACCTTGCTTCTCAACTGCCTTCGATCCTCCTGAAAACACACACACACACACACACACACACACACACACAAACTCTCCAGAATCAATAGGCATGCCACTGGGCTAGCAGGCAGGACAAGTCATCAAGGGCTGACTCTTACTTGGTGTCCACTGCTCACACTCCCTATCCCCTGCTGGGGCTTCGGTTTCCTCATGAATAGGCTGAGAATGGGGATAAGTGGCTTACTGTTTGAAAAAGGACCCCGTAAAGTAGATATTTTAAACTCTATTAAGCAGGTATTTTAGAAGACATTTTAGAAGTGTGAGAAGGCAGAGAATGGCATAAGCCTTTGAACTTCCACCCACTGAACTGGAGTCTTAGAAATTTTCTGAGTGTCCCATGGGGAGACTGGCTGACTCTCCCTCAGACTCGTCATCTTTCCTACTGTATTTCCATTAAGGCCACCTCCTCGTTCCCACACCTCTGCTTGTCCACTTTCCATTTCAGTGAATGAGACTACCAGAAACCTGAGTTTTTCTTTAGGCCCCTGCAGGAAAGTTGCATACATGACTTTTACTTCTTACTAATTCATCCATTTAAAAATAATAATAATAATAATAATGAATTTCTTATTGTTCTTTTTCAATGAAGAAGTATTTTTTAAATTTCTCATTTTTAATTTATAATATAGTAAATAATAGTAAT